TATCTATCTATCTATCTATCTATCTATCTATCTATCTATCTATCTATCTATCTATGACTGACGATCGTTTACGTTATGCAGTTTGGGGCTTTGACATTGACATTTTTTCCACCTCTGTTAGGATCAACAACCGTTTTTCTTCCACAGAGAAGCCTTTTCAGCTTCTTATACTCCGCTCTTTTCTGCAACTTCACCAAGACATAACAAGCTGTTGCGCAGTGTATAATCTTTTGTTGAAGAGGAAGCGCACTGAAACATGTGCTGAATGTACGTGCCTTCACATGGTTGTTAAACAAAATAATTTTTTGGTTGATACAACCAGACGTACGTGAAGTAACTAAATTGTGTCTTTCACTTAGCGTGTAACAACCGACATGAGAACTTACTAAAGAACTTTGGAAGACAAATTATTTGCAGCCTGAGGAACACAAAACTAAGTAGATCATGTCTAACAATAAGAGTGTAACGACCGACATAACAACTTATTCAAGATAATTGGAAAACAGAAGATACGGCTGTTTTGAGTTTCTTAGATCACAAAAAGGCTGGGTTTAAGTCTGAAAGGCTATTCCAGCTTCCAAAGTCATAACTAGTCCTGGTTAGAGTTTAGTCGTAAAACAAAATAGTGTGGAAAATTGCACATTTGGGTTGTAAAAGAAAACTATGTGCTGGTTGTCACAACTAGACGCACACAAAATGGGTTATAGTATATGTCTGACACTGAAAGTGTAACGACCGACATAACAGCTTACTGAATGAATTTGAACAACAAAAGAAAAATGCTATTTTGAGTTTCTTTTATCAGAATTAGGCTAAGCTGGAGTCTGAAAGATTGTTTGCAGCTTCTAAAATCTCGATTACGTCTGGCTACAGTCTAGTTTGCACAAAGCTGCCTTTAAAATTGCAAACCTAGGTTGTAAAACAAAACTAGAAATCTATGTGCTGGTTGGTACAACTAGATGTACACAAAAATAGTAGAAAATGTCTAGTACTGAGAGTGTAACGACCGACATGACAGCTTACTAAAGAAATTTTGAAGATAAAAAAACCGTTGACTTTTTTCGAGTTTTTTTAGATCATGACTATTTTCCAGCTTTTAAAATCACATGCAGACTTGACTACCCTCTATTCAATACAAAGTTGCATGGACAATTGCAGACCCGGGTTGTAAAATAAAATTATTTGTTAGTTGGTACAATTAGATACTTAGTTGGCAGACTTCTGACCCTGCCTGTCATGGCCAACCCGGGAAGAGAGGGATACAAAATTCCCGCAGAAAGTTCAAAATACTTAAAGAAAACTCTTCCCACTTGAGAATCGAACTCGGGTCTCCTGTGAGCCACCACGAAGCACCTGATAACCACAGGTGTCGGTTTTTGAAGTCAGTGGGCGCCCAGCATGATTTCGCTTTCGTTTTTACTTTCTAATTTAGCAAACCCAACTCATACAGTACATCTCTTCAAAATCTACATTAACATGGTTTTCTTTTCTTTTTACACCCAAGGTTATACCACTCCCCTTTCCAAAGTAAGCCCACGGTCACGAAATTCGCCAATTTGATTGTCATGAGGAGAAAACCCACCATTGTTTACACCTACGCTTACGTCATTTGATGGTTGCACAGACGACCCCTTAAGAAGAAATGTGAGTATCTGTGTT